CCCACACGCGGCAGAGGACAGTGAAAAAAAGGGGGGGGGGCGGGGGAGGTGGGAATGCAGGGAGAAAAAAGGCCGAGGCACGAGCATGAGGAGGGCGCACACTCCGGGATGGTCAGGACGGCCAGCTTGTCCACAGTGACAAAGTACTCCGCGAAGAGGGGCCCGAGGTCGGGGTTGTCGGCCAACAACGACACACGAACCACATCCCCGACCCGATAGTCGGGCTGGGTGGCCAGGGCATCGCGGAGTCGGTCGCACCCGGCAAGGGTGTCGGTTGAGCAGTAATTGTTGTTGGGCTTGTCGGGCTGCGGGACGGGTGTCGCGGCCGAGGGGGGCCGAGAGGAAGGGACGCGGAGGAAGAGGGGCAGAGGTCAGACCACAGCCGGGGATAGCAATGAGAGAGGACACAACGGGCGATGGCCATGGGGCCGGCCGGCGGGAAGAGGGCAAGAGGCCCGGCAAACACACAGTAGGTTTCATGGCTCTGGCATGTGGCCAGGCGAGCGCCAGCAGGGCCAGGAACAGGAGGGCCCCCAACTGTCGAGCCCGTGCGACGGGAGCGGACATTGTGTGCGGACGGAGAGGGGGAGGGGGGGGGCGGGAGGCGGGGGGCAACGAAAAAAAAAAAGGGGATGCGAAGAGCCGGCGAGAGGAGGGGATCTACCCTCGCCCCCCGGCCGCGCCAGGGGCCACACTTGTGCCGCTGCCGAAGAATAGATCCCGCCGCGGGGCCGGCCCCTCCCTCGGCCCATTCCCCCCCCCCCCCACCGCGGTTCCGGTCCCTCGGCCGGGAGAACGGCCGGCGTGCGGCGGGGTGTGACCGCCAGAAGAATGGTCCTTGGATCTTCGCGCGTGGATTTGGGACAAAGCAACGACGGCATACGGCTATTTGAGTTTGCTTCCGAAAATGAGGCAAAATGCGGGACTATTAATAAATATCCATTTATTGAATATCTCTCCGATCTAGTTAACAAGGGGAGAACATATTTGCCGGGGAGGCAAAAAGGGGCGAGAGCACACCAGCAAGCGGGGTGGAGGAAAACACTGGGGGTCCACATTTTGCCCCTTTTTGCTGGCTGCCCTCTTCTTCCGCATGGGCGCGTGGGCTCGTGTGTATGTGTGTATGTTGTTTCTTGTCTCTTCAACGCCCACGCCCCCACATGGCGCAGTGTCTAAGCGTGAGGCCTTTCGCGTGTGGGCCTCTCCCCGCATGGAAGATGGGCATGCTTTGGGCATGGCTGCCCCCCTCTTGTTCCCTCTCCCCCTCGCTCTCTGCCTCTTGCTGC